ATTTCAGGGAAAAAGAGAAAGAGAGAGAGACAGAGAGAGAGAAACATTAATGACTAGAGAGAATCATTGATCAGGAATCTCCTACACAGCAACCTGGGCATGTGCCCTAACCAGGAATCGAACCGTGACCTTCTGGTTCCTAAGTTGACACTCAACCACTGAGCCATTGCTGCTGGGCTTTGTTGCCATGTTAATTCTGTATGCCTATGTTTTACTATTTCTTCTTCTCATTGCAGCAGTCCCTTTAGCATTTCTTGTAGTGATAGTTTTGTGATGATAAACTCCTTTAGCCTTTTATTATTTGGGAAGCCCTTTATTTCACCATCTATTTTGAGTGATAGCCTTGCCTGATATAGTAATCTTGGTTTCAGGTCTTTGCTTTTCATTACCTTGAATAATTCATGCCATTCCCTTCAGGCCTGTAGAGTTTTTTATGAGAAATCAGTTAACAGCCTTATGGGAGCTCCTTTGTAGGTAACAGTTTGCTTTTCTCTTGCTGCCTTTAAGATTCTCTCTGTCTTTAATTTTTGTCAATTTAATTATGATGTGTCTGGGTGTGGGCCTGTTTGGGTTCTTCTTGCTTGGGACTCTCTGTGCTTTCTGAACTTGTGTAACTTTTTCCTTCACCAGGTTTGGAAAGTTTCTGCCATTATTTCTTCAAACACATTCTCTATCCCTTGTCAGGTTCTTCTCCTTTTGGCACTCCTATTATACAAATATTGTTACGTTTCATGTCGTCCCACAGCTCCCTTAAGCTGTCTTGTTTTTTAATTGTTTTTTCTTTTTAGTTCTCTGATTGCATGATTTTTTCAACCTTTTCTTCTAATTCACTGATCTGATCCTCAGCTTCCCCAATCTGCTGTATATTCCTTCCAATGTGTTCTTTATTAGTGCTGTGTCATTCTTCATAACTACTATGTTTTGTCTCATGCTATTGAGCATCTTTGCCATCATTATTCTGAATTCTATGTTTGATTAATTTCTCTCCATTTCATTTAGTTCTTCTTCTGGAGAATTCTCTTGTTCTTTCATTTGGGGGTTGTTCTTTTGTCTTCCCATTTTGGCTGCCTGTTTGGGTTTGTGACTATGTATTAGGTAAATCTGCTACACCTCTCAATCTCTAGTGCAGGAGGGTGTCAAATGCTGTTTCTAACTAATGAGAACAGGCAAAGACTCAAAGCCTCCAGAGACCCACCTCTGCCTGCAGACTCATTGATTTCAGTCTTTTTTAAAAAAATTCATTTCTTGATTGATATCAGAGAGAAAGTGAGAGTAGGGGGGGGAGATAGAAACATCAATGATGAGAATCATTGATCGGCTGCCTCCAGCAGGTCCCCCACTGGGGATGGAGCCCGCAACCCAGGCATGTGCCTGTGGCCCAAATCAAACCTGGGACCCCCCAGTCCACAGGCCAACGCTCTATCCACTGAGTCAAAACAACCAGGGCAGTCTTTTTTTAAAAAATATACTTTATTGTTGCAAGTATTATATATGTCCCCCTATTACCTCCATTGACCCCCTCCAGCCTGCCTCCACCCTCACCCCAGGTCCTCACTGCCTCGTTGTCTGTGTCCATGGGCCATGCATATATGCATACAAGGTCTTTTGTTGATTAGCTTCCACCCACCCTCCCCTGCCTTCCCTCTGAGATTCCACACTCTTCTATGCTTCCATGTCTCTGGATCCACTTCATTCACCAAATCTTCATGAGGCAGCACTGCAGTTGGTGGCTTCAGCCCAGTTAACTTCCTTCTGTCACATCTTTCGCAGGTTGTTTTTTTACTTAGATTCCACATATGAATGAAATCATGTGATACTTGTCTTTCTCTGACTGACTTATTTCACTTAGCATGATACTCTCCAGGTCCCTCTATGCTGTATCAAATAGTAAGAGATCCTTCTTTTTTACTCCTGCATAGTATTCCATAAGATAAATGTACCACAGCTGTTTTTTTTGCTGCTAGTGTGAACTTCGGCCTGGAGGTGGGCTATATCTCCCAGCTGGAAGGTGGGGGACCTCTTCTTAGAGCTCCAGCTCTCCTCCATCAGGTACAGGGAGAAAACCAGCTTCTCCTCTGAAAACACTGTGGTCCTGAAGGGCATCCAGGTGGGCAGGATGGCATGGCTGCTCACATTGCCCTGCCTGGGGAAGCGGCATTCTATGGGCACCTCCACGCGGTTAGTCCTCACGATGGACAGATTTCCAACAGGGCGGGGGTTGTGGAGCAGGAAGGTGCTGTACACCAAGGCATCCTCTGTCATAGTTGCCAGAAATCTTCATGAGGCAGCACTGCAGTTGGTGGCTTCAGCCCAGTTAACTTCCTTCTGTCACATCTTTCGCAGGTTGTCACTTCTTTTTTTTTTTTTTTTTTTTAAATATATTTTATTGATTGTTTACTGAGAGGAAGGGTGAAGGATAGAGAGTTAGAAACATCGATCAGCTGCCTCTTGTGCACCCCCTACTGGGGATGTGCCTGCAACCAAGGTACATGCCCTTGACCGGGATCAAACCTGGGACCCTTGAGTCCACAGTCTGACGCTCTATCCACTGAGCCAAACCGGTTAGGGCTGGTTGTCACTTCTTAACTAAGCCCACAGAACCTGCCAGGTAAGCCTCTGTTATCTTAGAGTGAGAAACCCACACTCATGTAGCCCAGCCTCAAACCTGACCGCATCATCGGTGTCCATAGAGACAAGGGGCTCACAGTCCTCGGGGTCCAGGGTGAGGTCTGCAGGCCTGATGAGCTTCCCGGTGCCAAAAAGGTCTTTGCTGACAGTGACCACGAGCTGGGCCTCCAGACACTTCACCATAACGTGGGGGGTCCCTCTCTGCCATATGGACTGGGAGTAGCACAGCTCCATGCCTCCCCAGAGCAGAAAGCAGACGAAGAGTCCATAGCTCAGCGCCATGTCACCTACAAACACGCCCTCTAGTAACTTGCCACAGCTTTTTTATCCACTCATCTGCTGATGGGCACTTGGGCTCTTTCCAGATCTTAGCTATTGTAAATTGTGCTGCTATGAACATAGGGGTACATACATTCTTTCTAATTGGTGTTTTGGGTTTCTTAGAATATATTCCTAGAAGTGGCATCACTGGGTCAAATGGCAGTTCCATATTTAATTTTTTTTTTTTTAGGAAACTCCATACTGTTTTCCATAATGGCTGCACCAGTCTGCATTCCCACCAGCAGGGTACTAGGGTTCCCTTTTCTCAATATCCTCACCAGCACTTATTTGTTGAGTTGTTGATGGTAGCCATTCTGATAGGTGTGAGGTATTACCTCATTGTTGTTTTAATTGACATCTCTCTGATGATCAGGGACTTTGAGTATTTGTTCATGTCTCTTGGCCTTCTGTATGTCCACTTTGGAGAAGTGTCTATTTAGGTCCTTTGCCCATTTTTTTTAAAGTTCTGAACTAGGATTACTTCTATTTCTTTATGGGACCAATGTCCCTACTCAATAGAGAATGTTTCTTGAACAAATAAATTATTTATTTATTTATTTTTACATTCCACCAATTTCCTTTATGTTTTTGTTTTTTTAATTGAATCTTTATTGTTTAGATTATTACAGTTGTTCTTCTCCCCCCCCATATCTCCCCTCCACCCATTCCCACCCCATCCTCTGCCCTTACCACCCCCTCACTGTCCTCATCCATAGGTGTACGATTTTTGTCCAGTCTCTTCCCGCACCCCCCACACTCCTATTCCCCATGAGAATTGTCAGTCCACTCCCTTTCTATGTCCTTGATTCTATTATATTCACCAGTTACCTCTGTTCATCAGATTTTTTATTCATTTGATTTTTCGATTCACTTGTTGATAGGTATGTATTTGCTGTTCATA